TGTTGGTAAATTTGTGAACAAGGAGACGACATCGAACGACACTAATAAATCTTCATCACACACACATATGTTGGCTAGGTTGAATGTATTATTCACGTTGTATTTTTCCGAAATTAATATTTTCAAAATATCTCCGATGTATTTTGACATTTTATAACAGGGGACCATAAAAGAAGAAACAATAGGACTAAGAGGAACATCTAGCTTATGAATTTTTGGCAATCCATAAAGTCTTGGCGCTGTGGCTGCCGTGCATGTGAGTTGTTGTTTTTCTCTAAAGTTGATGTGCTTGCCTTTCTCAAGTTCGTCCACTATTTTCTTGTTTTTTCTTTGGAGAGTGTTTGTGGGGTCACTTCTTATTGTTTTGTACGTGCTTTTGTCTTCTATTAATTTATTCATTTTCTCCAGGTACTCTGTTTTATACATAGCTACTGTTTTGTTTCCTTTGTCGGCATCAGTAATAACAACATTGTTTTTGTGTAGCTTGACGAACGCTTTGTAAAAAGCTGATAAAATAAATTTCTCCGCTGCGTTATGCTTTATATTGCATTTGAACAGTAGGATTCTGCTGCTCACTTTATTTCTGGCTATTTCTTTTTCTTTTTCATTCTCCAGTGATTGGATTAGATGTTCCTTTTCAGCTATTGTATGTATTGGTGAGAAATTCGATTTAGTTGTTGGTAAGGTGAATTTTCTACCAAGTGAGAGTATCCACTTTAATTCTTCGGGAAATTCGATTGTTGTGTTGTTAACGACCCAGTTGTTGTCTGTTTTGATTCCCAATTTCTGAACTTGTTCATATTTAAGTTTATTTATTTTTGAGTGGAGAGTCATCCTCTTCTTTTCTGCGATCCTCTGACCAAGAAAATTTTGCTTATTAACGAACGTGGTAAATTCTAACTCGTTTAAATCATGTTTTAGTTGTTGTTGCGCCTGATTCAAAAGATCTTGAGTTAGTTTTATATTAATGTTTTATGTATGTTATTAATGTTTGTTTGCGTAATTTCTATATTTAATACTTTCATAAGAAAGACTCGTTTCGACTTTTCTATCTGTTGTCTAATCCTCTCAGAACTGGTATTTATGGTTAAGTTTTTTATAGAATTTTTCAAGTGAATAGGAATAAGACCATATCTTTTGCATTCCAATAAGAATTTTATTTCTTAGTTCTGTTTGGCTAATTTCTGATTTTGTTTGCTGTAATGTTTAAGGGGGATGCATGTAAGTTCGCCGTGCTTATACTTCATGTGTTTATAGAAATCTTTCATCTTGTGTATTTTGGTTGGTGTCAGAAAAAATATAAACCAATATTCGGCAGGCCTTCCGAGGTAGAGTTCTATATATTTTATTATCCGATCAGTTCGTAATTTATTCAATTGTATGTTACCAGGCTGTAACATACAATTGAATAAATTACGAACTGATCGGATAATAAAATATAGTTAACTTTTTTATTAAAATTTATAAAGTAACTCAAACGATGTCGCATTGAAGACTGCTACAGTTACTTTTTTTCAACAGCTAAACGTGAGTGCGAAATGCGGGCCGACAGGAAGAATGACCGAAAATTTTACTAGAGATTTAGGCGACTTACGGAAGATTTCAAGACCAGGGCGTTCTCCTGTAAGAACAACAATGGCGACCTAGTTACCGATGTTCAGAACGTACTTAAATTATGGAGGGAACACTTTTCCACGCTACTGAATTGTAGCAGTTCGGAGAGTTGTGGAGAAGAATAACCCGAGCCCCCAGTTGATGATGACGGGAGTCGATGTTCCTCCGCCTGGCCATGAGGAGGTACGAATAGCAATAACGCGGCCGAAAAACAACGAAAGCTGCTGGAGCTGACAGCCTGTCAGCTGAGCTATTCAAGTACGGTGGCGAGAAGTTATTGTGTGAAAGACTGAAGCCCACCGTCAATGAACTGATTGGGCCTTATTAGTGTGGCTTTAGGCCTGGAAAATCCACCATAGACCAGGTATTTATAATACGCAAAATTTTGAAAAAGACCCGCTAGAAAAGAATCGACACTCACCACCTATTTGTCGACTTTAAATTTTCGAAAGCACTAAAAGGAGCTGCCTATACGCCGCTATGTCTGAATTTGGCATCCCCGCCAAACTAATACGGCTGTGTAAAATGACGTTGAGCAATATTACCAGCTCCGTCAGAATTGGGAAAGACCTATCCGAACCGTTCGCCATCAAATGGGGCTTCAGACAGGGCGACTCTCTTTCATGTGTGGATCTTTAATCTGATGTTGGAGAAGATAATGAGAGCTTCAGAACTAAACTGCTCAGGAACAATTTACTACAAGAGCGTGAAATTGCTGGCTTATGCCGATGACATCGATACCATCGGTAACAAAAACCGCGAAGTCGGTTCTGCCTTTTCCAAGTTGGATAAGGAAGCAAAGCGAATGGGTCTGGTGGTAAATGAGGACAAGACGAAGTATCTCCTGTCAACAAACAAACAGTCTGCACATTCGCGCCTTGGCACCCACGTCACTGTTGACAGTTATAATTTCGAGAAAGTAGAGAATTTCGTTTACTAATAATGGCAGCATGGAAATCCAGCGCAGAATTTTACTTGCCAACAAGTGCTACTTTGGATTGAGTAGGCAATTCAGGAGTAAAGTCCTCTCTCGACGTACGAAAACCACACTCTATAAGTCACTAATCATGCCCGTGCTGGTATATGGCGCAGAAGCATGGACAATGACAACAGCCGATGAGGCGTCTCTTGGT